GGAATGCAGTGGCCAGGGCTTGCTCCAGGTTAGCCAGTTCTGCACCTCTGGGCTGATGGCTTGATGGCCCAGCGCCAGGACCAGCTTTGCTTCATCTCTCCCTTCTCAGCTCCTTTCCAAACCCCAAGCCAGGGGCTTGCTGAAACTGGAGTCACCAGGGCAGCATGCAGCAGGGCCTGCAAGAGGACCATGGGCTCCACTGGCACTGAAGTTGGCAGCCTCCCCACGGCAGCAAAGCTCAGGGATGCAGGGGATTATGGGGGGGTTCCAAAGCCTCTTGCTTGTCACGGCCCCCCCGCTTGCCGATGCGCTGCATCGCCCAGCAAGGGCCCAGGGCCCAAAGGCTCCACTGGCTTCAGTGGGTACATGAGACAAAGGATGTTTGAGAGCACCTTCTGCACTGATCCCGAAACTGCAGATCCCTGGGAAAATCCCAGCCTGACTCTGTCCTTCCTGTTCAATTGCTGCTGGGCAGCAAGTGCAGAGCTCTAGGAAACTGGCTCGTCGCTGCCACACGGGCCCGGAGGAAAAGCCGTTCACCGAAGTCACAGCTGGGGAGGTTTCACATCCCACTTCTGCGTTTCTCCACTGGAGAGAGCAAAAACTCCAACGGGAAAGCAGCCAGACCCCTGGCTCTGGAGTGATGGGCACAGGGAAGGGGCAGCAAGTCAACCCCACTGCCTGGGGCTGGCATGGACCTGCTCCCCGAAGCCACATGTAGTATCTTGGGGTGCCCAGCTAACCCCACCGCCCTGATTCCTGCAAACCGTCTGCCCAGGCACTGCTGCAGCCCCTGCTCCCAGGCTGGAGCTGGGCACAGACAGGAGGGACACCGCCTGGGGTCCACACATCCTGTCCCTGCTCCCAACACAGCCCCGCAGGGTACCAGCGCAAGCTGCAGAAGAGGGGAGCAGAGAGCCCGAGGAGGTGCTGGCGAAGAGCTGGAGCTGAACTCAAGCCAGGCAGTTGCTTGGCTCCGAGTAGGTCTGACTGAGGGGTCACGGGCAGGGGAGCGACTGCCAAACCAGGGCTCAGCTGGAATTCTGGTGCCCA